TTAAAAAAATTTTACCAACCTGTTTGCCAACTTCTTCTCTGCATCAGAAAGTTTCTTCTTCACTTTCATTTTTTTGGCAGATTCTTGCAAAAGTGGCCTTTGGATTTGGGGTGAACTTTCTTCCTCCTCATCTTGTTTCCTTTTTTTGATGGCTTCCTTTTAAAAGTTTAAAGTTATGTTTGAGACCTCATCATTTAGTGGTCTTTCTAAAGTAGCATCTTTTCTCTCTCACTGGTACATCCAGTAATGGAAAGTTACTGAAAGTTGATCCTATCTGCCCCAATTTACAAAGCATCCCCTGCAAGGTAGGTAGGTTGTTTTAAAGCTGTTCTAATGGGCCATTCGGAGTAGAAGGCAGTGACTTACTTTAGGCACAGGCACGTACACGGGCTGAAGCTGAGGCTTCACAGAGCCGAAGAGGGAAGCCAGCCGACCCGTACCGCCCCTGGAGGGTTGCTTGCCGCGGAATAAACTACTGGCGACTTGTCCAACCTCATAGTCTCCTTCCAGATTCCCACAAGCGCCACCGTCCCGGTTCTCCCTAGACACGGACGCCAGAGACTCAACGACAGGATTCCACGCCCCACCCCTCGCGCCCCGAGCTCCAAACGCATTCCCGCCCAGGCAGACGAGCCACGAGCCACTCACCTCTCCTGAGCACTCTGCTTTTTCTCCCGTTTGTTCTTCCCTTCCAGGGCCATCCTTCATCTAAAAGCCTCCCAGCCTGCAGCAGCACCACGTGAGCCCGCACTTCCGGGTCTCGGCTGCTCGGCTCTCGGAGCCACGCCCCTTCCGCCCCAGGAATCTCTGTGGACGCGCTAGGAGCCGAGACAGCGGGCGAAGGGGCGGAGATAGCGGATGGGGGCGGACACAGCGAGCCTGCCGGTCGGAGCCAGACTTCCGAATCGGTTCGCACCTAACTCTCTTTGGCTAAGACCTATCTTCCGAGAGTAGGTCAGGTCTGAAGTAGGAATAAGAATCAGCCAGGCTGCGAGTGGGGTATCAATCCAAGCAGAGGGAAACCACGTACCAGAATCTCTGCGTTGTCAAAGACAGAGGAGGTTTGTCAGGAAATGAGGTTACAAAGATGTACGTCAGTCACACAGTAGTAACAAATGATGAATCGGTGTGAAGGATACATGGGGCTCCTTTGTGCTGCTCTTGCAACTTTTCTGAAATCTGATATTATTTCAAAGTAAAATTGAGAAGAAATTGTGGGAGACCGCAGCTCTAACCTGGGCTTCGCTTGTGGCTCAGACAGTATCTGCCTGCAACGCGGGAGACCTGGGTTCGATCCCTGGGTTGAGAAGATCCCCTGGAGGAGGGCATGGCTACCCACTCCAGGACTCTTGCCATGGACAGAGGGAGCCTAGCGGGCTACAGTCCATGGGGTCTCAAAGAGTTGGACAGGACTGAGCGACTAAGCAGAGCATACGCACAGCTCTAACCTGCTCGGCGTTATCATACCAGGAAAAGGAGATCCTTGACTCTCAAAGCCTGAAGAATCCCATTGACAGCGGAACCTGGCGGGTTACATCCCTTGGGCCGCAAAGAGTCGGACACAACTGCGCGACTAAGCTCACTGCACTGGCTCTCAAAGCTAATGAGATTTTCTCAACCAACTCAGCGTGCGTGGTAAGTCGCTTCAGTTGTGTCCGACTGTGCCATCCTATGGACTGTAACCTGCCAGGCTTCTCTGTCCATGGGATTCTCCAGGCAAGAATACTGGAGTGGGTTGCCATGCCCTCCTCCAGGGGATCTTCCCTACTCACACGTCTTTAGTCAGCTGTATTGGCAAGCGAATTCTTTTACCACTAGCGCCATCTGGGAAGCCCCCATCTCCTAGGTCCAAGCCTCCAAAGCCCGCTTTTTCCCACCACCTCGTTATTCCACAAGCTTCTATCATTCCTTATTTTTGTTATGCCTTCCTCCACTATTGCCCTCCTCTTTACCCCTCATTGCCACCAGCAAAATTGTACCCATCCTTCAAGGCTCAACTCATTTGGGAAAATTCCCTGCTATTTTCAGTAGAGATGAAATAGTGTCTCTAGATACAAATTGGTGTCTTATTCACCCTGTATTCTGTATCCCCACTCACCATACCTAGTGAATATGTGGCAAACAGACTTTGAATAAAAGATAAATATTAGATTATCATTAGGTAAATCATTGACTTAGTAGTTTGGGTGGTGAAAGCAAGCGACCTTGAATCTTTGGGGACAGACTTGCTACTTTTGGAGAGCTGCTTAACAAGTCACTGGGAATGTATGTGACCTCTTTTATAGTCCACATCAGATAACATGATGGAAAACCATTATTTATTTGCTTGGCCCTGGTTTTGCTTTGAGTCCCTCAGTTTGACTCCCCATAGTTGTGACCTTGTAGTATCTCAGAGAGAAAAACTGTCCATATCTGCAACTCAAGCATCTTCATCTATTCTATGCTGTCCAATGAAGATATTTAATTTTCTTTCAGAATGTCTTCCAATCAGATTCCTTCCTCACTCTAACATTCCAAGAATCACTTCCTATCTGAAGCACCGTGACCTCATTGAATCTGGCCTTCCTGACACTACCTCTCCACACTAGCCTATGCATTCCACTTCCAGATGAATCTGTTAAATGCTAAATTAAGATTTGCATCTCCTCTGTCACTATCACACCAGTCATCGCATTTCTTGTATGCTCATACACTGCCCTCATTAAAGCTCTTATGCACGTTTTCCTCAACCATATAATTTAGTGCTTAATTTTATGATCATATATATAGGCTACCCGGTGGCCAATGGTAAAGAATCCACCTGCCAAGCTGGAGACACAAGTTCAATCCCCGAGAAAGAAATGGCAAACTGATCCAGTATCCTTGTCTGGGAAATCCCATGGCTGGCTACAGTCCATGAAGTCTCAGAGTCGGACATGACTTAGGGACTAAACAGTAACAACAAGTATATATTACTTCCACAATTAAATCATGAAACTATTCCTCTGGGAAATTTACCTCTTATACATACAAAACCCATCATACGATGTTAGACAAAATTCCCTAAATAGTAGCTTAAGTTTAGACAAAAGGTGGAGAATTTTGAATTCTCCACAAAAGGTGGAGAATTTTGAATTCTCCACAAAAGGTGGAGAATTTTGAATTTCAACGAAGAATGAAAGGCAGCCCACACTTCAGAAGGAAAATGGTTAAGTATGAAAGAGACATTGGTTGGAGATAGTTAAAAAATGATCCACACTGCTATTAAGAACTGTTTTTCTTTTAACCATTTAGAGATCACCAATACCTTTGAATAGTTTCTTAAACTTTTAAAAAAATGATAGGGGTTTCATGAAATCTACTCCACTGTCCCTAATCTCCCCAGGTTATTAAAATTAACAAGATCTCACCCTCAGGTTATTTCAGTAGGAAAAAAAGGTTTTGGAGAACTCTGTAAAAAATGTAGCATCTTAACTTTATCTGAGATTGTAAACTAGTTTGGTAAAATGTAGTTTAGGTGATCAGTGGAAAAAAAAGTCAAATTCCAGAAATGCCATGAAATTCTCAAACTCTCTGGAGAAGCTGGGAAGAAATAGGCAAGCAAGAGGGCAGAAAAACCCACCGATAACAAAACATCAATTCCAAAGCTGATCATCATTGTCCTTTAGAGCACTCTTTCTCTAACACACCAAGTAGATGATATTGGGAGTTCCTTGAAAAACAGGGTTTCATGATCAGGTAAAACTAAAAACAGTAGGTTAAGGAAAAAACTTTAGGTCCTAAAGTTTAAAATATGCTAATATTATAGCTCTAAGGGCTTCCCAGGTGGCACAAAAGTAAAGAATCTACCTGCTAATGCAGGATACCCAAGAGACCTGGGTTCCATCCTTGGGTTGGGAAGACGCCCTCGAGGAGGAAATGGCAATACACTTCGGCTTTCTTGCCTGGAGAATCCCATGGACAGAGGAGCCTGGAGGACTAGGGTCCATGGGGTCTAAAAGAGGTGGACATGACTGAGTGGTNAAATGGCAATACACTTCGGCTTTCTTGCCTGGAGAATCCCATGGACAGAGGAGCCTGGAGGACTAGGGTCCATGGGGTCTAAAAGAGGTGGACATGACTGAGTGGTTAAGCACACACACTGAAGCTCTAAGAAGGGAATGTGCTATATATAAGCATTTCCAAAATATATTTGATAACAAATTCCCAGAGCATTTCCAGGGAAATTCCAGGAATACCAGGGACTAGTATTCTAGAATCTCATTTTTGAGAAGCATTGTTCTATAGATTTAAAAACTCATCCCTTAAATGTTAAACTAACTTCTGTGAAAAGGGTCATCACAAAAGTGAGTCAAAAATAAATGTTTGGGCTTTGGGGGCCTTAAAAAAAGTTTCTTTTTGTTTTAAAGAAAGGATTTTCTCTTAGTGGAAGGGGCAAAAAAAACCCTAATTACTGATTTTAAAGGTTTGGAGTAATACAGTGGTTCTCAACCTAGATGCATATTAAAGTCACTGGCCACCACCTTAAAAAAAAAAAAAAAATCAATATCCAGGTATCATCCCAGACCAATTAAGTATGACTTTTTAAGGGTGGACCCTGAGTATTGACTATTGGCTTAACAATGCCCAGATGACTCCAGGGTGTATTAATGGGGTAGAGTACACTAAACGCTTAAGGGAGTCACAAAGGTCTACTTACATTAAAAGACAAGGGAAAAACAAAGCTGCTAGTAATGGTTTCAAGTGTTATAAGAAAAAGCTTTTTTGATTTTCTTCTTTAAACAAACCTCCAAGTCATAAGTATTCATGTTCAGACTCAAACTAAAAAGTGTATGCAAAGATATAAGAATGCCTAAGAACTCCTGTACATAAATCTGGTTAATGGACTTTCAATTCCTGCAGGCAGAATATTCTCTTAAAAAAAAAAAAAATCCTTTCTGATCATATATGCTGGAAAAGTATGTTTCAGTCAGTCATCATACAGAAATGAACTAAAATTACTTAACCTTTTAGAAACAAAATCAAGGATTCACAAACTATGGCATTTTATTTCAGAGCCTTTGCTTACATTTGTACAATATATTACATAATTCTTCATTGTTTGCAGATCCTAATATATACTTTATAGCTTTTATTCTATAAGCTTTTCTTCAAGGTTTTGCTGTCAACAAATCTTTACAGTCCTGTACAAATTTGAATAACTTGAAACCATTTTCAACAAAATTAGTTACTGTAAGCACACACTACAAGACTGAAAATGCTTTTCTTAGAAAAGTTGAATGTAAAGGATTCTGACACGTTAGCATCTACAACGCTTCGAAATTCTCACATGTCGTATTGCCAGAAAACAAACAAAACATGCCAGCTCCATCCAAAAGAAGTACACAGAACTACAATTAAAACAGTAAAACAGTCTGTACAGTAAAGTACTGTGTATGAACAGTGCCAGGTATTAAATAGCTTGAATGAACACATCCGCAATATACAAATGTCTTACAAAGGTGTAGAATTAAATACAAGTGCCAAACAGAACAGAGATTGGAATCATACAACATAAAGTCAATACAAGTGAAAACAATTTTGCGTTCATTTTGGATTTTATACAAGGCATTTAATTTTTATAGGCCTACCACCCCAATTAGCTATTTATACTTAAAATAACAACCATCCTTTTGAGACAGTTCGTAGCAACAGCCTTGAACCATACTAATAAAGTTTACTTGTTCCTGAAGTTCTCTTGTTGTAGCTCATAATAAAATAAGCAATACAAATGAATTATCTGTATTTAAGGAAAAAGAAACATTTACAAGAAAACACAAAAATATAACTGTTATAATTCATTATGAATAAATATACACTTTGAACTGGCTAAGTACAATCTTTATACATTGTTTAAGATTTAATACAGTTTATTAGCCATTTTCTTTTTTCACACAATGTATTATATCAAAATTAAAAAAAAATACTGATTTATAGAAAAATGGCAAAGTACAGTAGTTCCATTCCAATTTGAAGGGGCATGAAAAGCCACTGCAAGACCTTTTAGCCTAATTCAAACCTGTAAACATGTTCAGTCTTTTTTAAAGAGAATCTTTAATATTTGGTTATCAGGATTGATGTCTAACATCCTGTTAACTGCAGGTTTTGAATTTATTACATGTGCTTGACTTATACAATTAAAGCCACCCTAAGGTGACTTGCTTTAAAAAACAATTAGCTTGTACAAATGAAAATAGGTTCATATTTTTTCATAAATAAATGGAAAAATATCAAATGTTCCAGCTTTAACAAAATACAAGGGAATACATATACAGTAAGTTTTCTTAACATGTTCTGGCCACCCAATGACTGCGCTTACTGTATTGTCTCTACAGGCAGTGAAAAGCCTCCATCTGCCACAGTGGAAGGCCTTCAAGTTACCAGACACACAATTCCCGGACAAGTTGGAAACAATTATTGCTTGAGGAAAAGCAGTCCATTGTACTTTTTCTTCATAAAAAAAGTGCACTTAAGTGCCAAGTCAGCTTGTCAAGAAGCGATTTTTAAATATAAAATAGTGCTTGTCTGATTTTTGTGCCACTGTGCAGTATAAAAAGACGTGGCCCTCAACAGCCGTAAGTGCGAAGTGCCCCAGCAAGTCCTGCTGTCACCTGCACTCAACTGACATTCCGTTCTGGGATGCGCTGGACATTGACGGCTCAGCCAGCGTTAACATGACGGCAGCCGTTATGGAGCTGGATGAAGGGGACGACGACGACGAGGATGTAGCAGCACCTGAGCGAGAGGGAAACCAAGAGCTTAATGGCCGCAGAAGGAAGTGACACACTAGCCCTCTCAACTCGGGTTCTGCTGCAGTCTCCAGAACCACTTACTTACAAGAGCAGTCCATTTTTATGGTACCATAATGTACACAAAGGAAAATCTAGTGCATCTCAGGTAAGGAGACACTGCCAAACTACAGGAAGTAACAACAAAGAAGGGACCAGGGAACGTTCCTGCACTGTTTAAAGGAAAGTGAACTGTGGGCTCAATCCACGGAGATGTGGAAATAAAATAAAGGGTAGACTTTCAGTAATAATGAAACAAATGTCAAAAAGACCTTGGAATTCAATAGGAAAATCTGTAATCTATCCCCAAATCTTTCCCCCCTTCCAATTCCTGTATCTTTCTGCTTCTGGAGCTCCTTATGAAATTAAATCGTGATGAGGATGGAAGGCTAATTGCTTTTTGAACTTGGGAAAAATTACTACTACTACACATCACAGCATAACTACTGCCTTTTACTCCACTTGGTTTACAAAGCAAATGACACATAATTTTTTCCTCAAAGAAATTCTCTCAGTGTTATAAATCAGCGTTTGAAAACTTTATATGCACAAGGTTAAAAAAAAATCACTCAGAGATGGGAGATAAGAGGGAAATGTGAATCTTCCTCTGATTCAAGACCCTCCTAGTCTTCCAAATTCCCCTCCCCACTGTCACCCCCGCTGTTACCAACTGTGTCACCATCTTTAAAATGCCACAAGAGGGACTGGTAAATTACTGCCTATTTTTTTGTTGTTAAGAAAATCTGACTGGAACACAACTATGCCTATTTGTTTAGATCTAGCTTATAGCAGATTTCATACATACAATGATAGGGTCCAGTAGTTCTAAAGAGACTACAAGGTCCACAAAGCCCAAAATATTTATTATCTGTCTCTGTAGAAAATGTTTGCAACCCCAGTTCTAGAGGAATTTTATCAGTAGAATCTAGACACATGACATGCATATTTAAAATGAAAACACTAGTAACTTTGTTTTTAAAATTGCAAGTGGAATCATAGTACAGAGTCTAACTAGGTTTTATTAGTTGGAGGCTAATTACTTTACACTATTGTAGTGGTTTTTGTCATATATTGACAAGAATCAGCCATGGATTTACATGTATTCCCCATCCCGATCCCCCCTCCCACCTCCCTCTCCGCCCGATCCCTCTGGGTCTTCCCAGTGCACCAGGTCCGAGCACTTGTCTCATGCATCCAACCTGGGCTGGTGATCTGTTTCACCCTAGATAATATACATGTTTCGATGCTGTTCTCTTGAAACATCCCACCCTCGCCTTCTCCCAGAGTCTGTTCTATACATTTGTGTCTCTTTCTAACTAGGTTTTTACACTTAGCAATCTGAGATGTTCCTTATCAGTACACATACAGATTTACATTTTTCTTTTCAAAGCTGAATAGTTTTCCATTATATTTATGAACCGCAACTACTTTAATTCCTTTTTGCTCTTACCAACAATGAATGAATACTTAAGAGCATTATAAATAAAAATTTAAGTGTTTATTTAAATATATTATTGGAGAATACAATTTAATAATTTCTATCTGCTCCTATAAATACTACCATAACAAACTTCTTTGTGGTCACATATTCTTCCTTTGGGACCCATTCTTAGAATTGGAGGTAGATAGTTGTCCAAAGACACAGTCAAACCATTTCCCAAGATAACTGGGCCTGTGGCCCATCTACTTCAGTTTATTGTGCTTTGCTTCACTGTGCTTCAAAGATACTGTTGTTTACAAATTGAAGGTTTTCAGCACTCTTGCATCCAGCAAGTCTATCGGCACCATTGTTTCCAACAGTATTGCTCACTTTGTGTATGTGTCGCATTTTGATAATTCTCACAATATTTCAAACTTTCTCATTGTTATTATATTTGTTATGGTGGTGGGAGCAGTGAGTTTTGATGTTACTATCACAATTGCTCTGGGATGTCATGAACCATGCCCATTATTATAAAAGACAGTGAACTTTTTGATTACTAAAATAATAACAAAGGACTTAGAATAAAACAAAAACTTAAGTTGATGGAACAGCAGCAGGGTTTGAGAAAACTAACTTCAATTCTGAAAGAAGTTCTATTGTGAGTAATATGCCATCAAACAACATTGCAGAGAAGTCGTTCATGAAAGGAAAAGTCAATTGGTAGCATAAACTTCAGAGTACTACAATGTAGTCTTATGTTAAGAAGTTGCCACAGACACGCTAACCTTCAGCAATCTCCACCCATCAATATAGAGGCAAACCCTCCACCAGCATAATGATCACAACGAAGGTTCAGATGATAGCTAGCATTTTTAGCAATTAAGTATTTTCAACTGAGGTACGTTTATTATTCTTTGGGACATGATGCTATCGCACACTTAACAGACTACAGTACAGTGTAAATATAACTTTCATATGCACTAGAAAACCAAAGAAATTCCTATGGCACACATCGTTGTGACATTTGCTCTTCTGTGACAGTGCGGAAACGAACCGACATCTTGGAAGTAGGCCTGCACTTTGTTTCAGCAGCCCCGTCAGACTAAAACAACCCCCGTCCCTCAGATTTTAACCTCTCTCACGCCCTCTGGTTCTTCGGGTTCAATGAAAATGTTACAGCCACTCCTAATCTAACACGACCCACCTGATCACTGCCTTACCACTGCTCCACTCTGTTCACAGTGCTTTGTACTGTCTGACATATTAGTAGTCTTTTGGGGGGAAGCAGATGGTAAGCTCCATGAAAATGAATATTATGGTTTGAGATAATTGTTTTAGATAAAATTTTTCCATTTTATAGATGAAGAAAATAAGCCTGAGCGGTTACTGCCTGAAGAGTCACAGACACAGTTCACGTGAGCCCAACCGTCGAGTCAAAACTCCTTTGTGTTTAGGTAAAGTAAGGTAAAAACACTTACTTTCTCTTTCTTTCTTCTTTAAACGCTTTCTCCTCCGATCTATGGAAGCTACTTCAGATTTTAATGATAGATAATGTTTTCTGATTTCCTGTAGTTTTTCTTGAAGAATTGTGATTCGTTCAGCACTTGTCATATTTTCCAGGTCCGCTGTGAATTTAAAACTTTCATTAGTATGCATTTGTGAACAAAATTTTAATATATAAGAGAATATATAGTGTGGTCACAGAATGAGGTCAGGACAGAGAAACTTTAGAAAAAGGCTTATAAATATTGTTTGCCTAAGTTGTTTTCTCCCCAGCCTAAAAGACTGCCCAGCACTAATACATGCAAGGTAATTTTTGAGTGAATGTGTAGAATTAAAGACCTTATGACCTAAATAAACATGGATGTTAAAATTTCCACATTTGCGCCCCACCCCCAAAAAAATCCACATATGTGTACAGCATCACCATAGTACATCATTAAAAATTATACTTGAAAAGACACCAAAATGTTTAAACTGCATATATTTTTGAATGTTACAACTCTGAACAAAATGTTTTCTCATCTTCTTTTTTTGATTTTTTAATATGCATAACTCTGAAATTGTTAGAAAAATTTTCAAATGCTCTGAAGCAATTTTCAGTCTCCTAAGAGTATTTCCTTGCATGAGAAACTCTGAAGTAGTCTCTTTTTAAAAAGGAAAAAAAAAAAAAACTTGTAATGGCTATTTTTCAGGTATACAAAGGTTTTACAAAGAGTAGTATAACAGAGTCACATATACTAATCAGCTTCAATAATTAGCAATTCATTGTAAATTCTGTCTCATGTAAACCCTAAACAATCCACTTCCCAGGAGCAACACTAGATTTTTTATAGTAAATTTCTGACATTATATCAGAAATATCTAGTCAGTGTTGATATGTGCCTCAAATGCCTTAACATACTGAGTAAAGTAAGCCAGACATCATTTATATGTGGAAATATCATATGACATCATTTATATGTGGAATCTAAAAAATGATGACAAATGAACTTATAAAACAGAAAAAGACTGACAGAGAACAATCTTATGGTTGCTGGTGGGAGAAGGATGGTGGGAAGGGATAGTTAGGGAATTTGGGGGACATGTACACACTGCTATATTTAAAATGGATAACCAACAAGGTGAAGAAAAATTACTGGGAAGAAGTTTCTATTGCTTCACCTCTGACTTAGCATATGCCACTTACACATCTGAAAACTCCATTTGTAAACTTTGGGTAATCGATTACTGGGTTCCTTGAGGTCAGGATCTTTATCGCCATTCTTCCCGCATTTTCCTGGAGACTGCGTCCTAGCAGGAGATTTGGTACCATGAGCCTTCATCCCAGTGGAAACTGATTTGATGGGCTGAGCCTTAGTTACACTTTCACCAGCAGAAAGTTCTTCACTATCACTACTATTTGCTGAAAAAAAAAAAATTTTTTTGTAAGCATTAGTAAACAGAAAGTAATCATAATCTGTTACAGATTGAAGTGGACAATTTAAAATTTAACCATTTCAGTTCACTACTACAGTAAACAACTTGCTTTACAGACCCTGCCTAAAAACTTGGAAAATCATCAAGTATAAACACAGCAGCACATCAGTTAAGGAAAACAAAAACTCTTCTTACCTGAATCGCCAATAATGTATTTTTAAAAAATACTTAATCTTTCATTATATCTGGTAGATTGCCAAAAATGTGACAACTATTTAAATAGCTTTTAACTCTACTATATTAAAATATATAGAGAGATAGAGAGTAGAATACAGCATTTTTAAAATGAATCATATGAAAACTTAATTTCATATTTTAAATTGTGTACATGCAACACTTTCCTACTTCTCTGGCCAAATCAATGATGCACAATCATTATATTCAATAAAGAATTCTTTGAAAATAAATTCTAAATTTTAATATATACAATGATTTCTTGAGAAACTCCTGTATCATAACCTGTTGACTAAAATAAATCATAGGTTTTACCCTGATAAATATATTCAGTAATTTATGAAGAATTCAGAAGTCTATGCAATAATGTTACATCTGCCTTTGTTGATTAAAACCTCAACAAAGTGTGTGCGAGTGTGTGTGTGTGCATGTGAGTGTGTGTGTGAGAGTGTGAGAGTGAGTGTATGTGCGTGCGCGCACGCGCGCTCAGTCGTATCCGACTCTCTGTGACTTTATGGACTGTAGCCTACCAGGCTCCCCTGTACATGGAATTTCCGAGGCAACAATACTGGCGTGGGTGGCCATTTCCTACTTCACAGCATCTTCCTGACCCAGGGATCGAACCTGTGTCTCTGTTATCTCCTGCATTGGTAGATGGGTTCTTTATCACTGTGTCACCTGGGAAGCCCAAAGCCTCAGTACCAGAATGGAAATCTTTAACATCTTGACATGTGACTAGGTGATGGAACTGCTATTTCCATAAATTACCTCTTTCTGGATACAAAGCATTACTGTAGATTCTATGAGAGTTAATTCATTTGACTAAATTATTCTCAGAGAACTGTTTCCTCATTCTGATTTACCAAGATATAAGTCCAATAATTAAAATGGAAGAATTATATGATCAACTGCTATAGCTCAAAATTATATGAATATGTCAACTGACTTGTTGAAAATGAGCCCTCTTGGAGAATGTCATTTAAAAGTCTTAAAGATAAAAACATTACAGTGTAGTTAAAAAACAGTCTTGAATATCCTTTCAGTTACTTCAAATGTGGCATCAATCTGGCATTCAAATTTATCCATTTTCTTTTATCAATTCTTCATTAACAATAGCTACCCTCCAAAAAATAATAGTTAAACTCTAAAAACTGAAAAGTATTCCAGACAGGAAAGACACAGCAACTCCTCCCCACTGTGGTGTTCGGAGTAAAGAGACTCCACCACTCTTCCGTACATGTCTTAAAAGAATCCCTTCCCAGTCCCCCCACTGCTGCTCTGGAACCCCAGGCAACTCCTAGCTCAGCCACCCAAGGCTTGGCCCCACTCGGATGCAGTGGTCTGCCTCAGCTCGGCTTTCATGGCCTCGCTGAACACAGCCGCCCGGGGCCCCGAAGGATGCCATATTCACCGCCTGGAAGTCATATGGGCTCAGGAGAACCGCGGGGAGCTGGCCGCAAAACCCTTTTCTGCACTGAAGTGCAGCCAAGCCGGCCGATAGCAAAGGTCAGGCAGTGGAGGTGGCAGGAATCTCCTGGAAGAGCAGCAGGAGGTCAGTGTGGGGCACCTGAAAAAAAATTCTTTACATATTTTCTGCTTCGTACTTTGTCTACGAGAGAGAGAAAAAACGTGCAGCTCTCAGGAGAAATACAATATATATATTCCTGTAGACTGATAAATAAGAATCACTGCTAAAGTCATTAGTTAGAACATATTTTAACCCAAGTATTCTTAGAGCTGCTCTTGAATACACAGTTCAGGATATCAAAGATAAAGATAGTAGGCTGCAGCTATTGGAATTACAGCTCTAAAGCTATCTTGATTGTTCTCTTCTAGGCTGATTTTGCCTGAAAGGATTACAAAGCAATCAGTTTCACTATAATAAAAAGAATATATAATTCAAGCATTTCATAATATATAATATATATAATGAAAAAGAATTTGCACATAAAACTAACAAAAATGTTGGTGTTTATATTATACTATTATTTTTTAAAAAGATCACCTGATCATTCATCAGCAATCAATACCACTGCTGAATAAGAGCAAATTGCTCAATCCTAGAATCTACCTACAGTCAAGAGACTTCTGTGTGATTTTTGCAGGGGTAGAGACAACAATCAAAACATTACCTATCCCATATCCTAAATACCCTTTTCTTAAAGGGAGAAAAAACCATATCCACCATTATCTTTACATTTAAAAAATCAGAGATCTCACACTTACTGCCTTTTCCCTTCTTTTTGTTGTTTACCACTGTAGATTTATGGCTTCGTTTCTGCTTTTTTGATGAATTTCCTCCTCCCTGAGCTTCTTTCACTCTTTTCTGACCTGTACAGGCTTTGATGGGGAAAAGAAACTATTAAGTAACACAAAATAAAATCAAGCTTGTCCCCAGGTATAAATTCATTCCACATTTTGGAAGAATAGACCAATTCTGAAACTATACATGTTGAGATTTATAAGTTATCATAGAAATTATTAGAATTTTTAAAAGTCATTAATGAACTGATTTATCACACATAATAAAACTAGAGTTTTGTAAAGAAGCAAATAAAGCACTTCCCTGGTGGCTGAGTGGTAAAGAATCTGCCTGCCAATGCAAGAGACATGGGTTCTATCCCTGATCTGGGAAGATCCTACATGCCGCAGAACAACTAAGCCTGTGTGCCACAACTACTGAGCCCACACTCTAGACCCCAGGAGTCGCAACTACCGAGGCCCGTGTGCCCTGGAATCCAGGCTGGGCAACAAGAGAAGCCACTGAAATGAGAAGCCTGCACAGTGCAACCAAGAGCGACCCTGCTGACCGCACCTGGAGAGAAGCCTGCACAGCAACAAAGACCCGGCACAACCACAAATAAACAAATACATAGAAACCAGTCAAGCGTGCACATCCTTCCTGGGCAATGGTTAACATGTACACCACGTACAAATCCAGCACAGTAGCTCTAAAAAACTACTTCTTGGTAGGAAGTCATTCCAAACTATTACAAAGGCTCCCTTTTCCTCAAGGATTAGCCCAAGTCCTACCTTCCCTTGATGCCCAGGCTTCACTTCAATGATTAACTGCTACTCCTAACTACAGTCTCTCTACTTCTAATAGGATCCTCAGCATCTGCTATGTTTCCAGCTTTGTAATTATATGTATTGTTTCTCAGACTATATAGTAATCTCTTTTTCCTGAGATTTATAAAGCCTTATCTCTATTCCACTGCAGTGTCAGATACTATTAATATAATGACAATACAATCAATACTATGATAAAATTATGCCATGCTTGTTAGAAAAAATGTTTCTTAATCCTGTTACAACGGTAACATATACAAGACATGACTTTGTTGGTAAAAGAATAGAACAAGCTATTTTAAATGTTTTGTTTGCAACTTTTTAGTTGTTTTTTTAATGGGTTACATCTAATTGATAACTTTTCCTAAGGCTATTTTAATATAACAAGGTGAACCATAAAGAAAGTGATTTAGATATTATCTATGTTAAAGTACAGAATCTTAACAATAATCGCCAAATTTCTCTCCAAAAGAGTTTAATTCTGAAACTTTCGTCTCCAAGAAATAAAAAGCTTACTGTAGGCTAACCTGGAAGGCAATCTTATATCTAAATTGTAAAACTTACATTTTTACTTTTAATATAAAGTCAAGTCTTCAATATCTGCTGACAAATTTACTCCTTGTGCAGACAAAAGGAGCCATATGAAACAGGTACTTAAGAATTTATTTTTAAAGAGATACAAATTCTAAAAAATTCTGTAATATGCTTTGATTTGATAAGACAGATATACCCTAAATGAAGTTCTCAAATTGCTTACTTTTTAACCCAATCAAGATTAAGATTCAAAAGGGCAATACTGACATAGTCTATCAGAAGACAAGCTATCATATTTCTTGTTGAAAACACATCTCAATCTTTCATAAGATATTAGGAGCATGGTGAGGATGCAACCTCTTCAGAATTATGATTAAAAGTTCATTACATTATATTGAAAGCTTCTCTAATCATCTGCAATAAAAGCTTCTTTCATTTTGAGGATATTTATGCCTGGATAATTCAATTCCGGGAGACAGTATGACACACAGACATAATCACAGTAGCTATGTGTATAAATGTTTAAATAAAAAAAGAAAGATAATTGAAATCTATTGCAACTACCTTTTTTACTTAGTATTTTTTGAAAAATGTTTTAAGACAAAATTATTTGTGTGATAGTTATGTCAATTATATCTCAGGGAAACAAGAAATAGGGGGAAAAAAGGCTTATGAGAGAAAACTTCAAGCTAACTAATTTGGTCTAGACTGTATCTCTTTAAGTTTACCTAAAAACCTGAAATCAGTATAATAAAATCTGGTATGTTATATAACATACATACCCTAGTGCTTCACACTGGAAAAGTGTGTTTCAAAGCCAAGTGTCAGCTTACAGTATACTGATTTAAAGACACCTGAATGAAGTGGTTTATGAGAAGAATGTCAGAAGTACAGCTATGGCACCAGTAAAAAGGCATTAAGACTTTAGGGAAGGACAGAATAAACACTGGTCTTCAAACTGGAAGCTAGGCAACCAAGGAAGCACCAAATGCCACTACAAACCCTCACACGACGGTCAGGCTCGAGAATCAGTCTGACATGGCTATCTGAGGAGAGACCGGCATGGACAGGTGGGTGCTCCAAACCCCTACATAGAGCACTCTGGCTAAGAGTGGACGAGTCCATCAGTAAATCAGAATGTTAGTGAGAAAATGCGTGGGACAGCTGCAAAAACAATGTTACAGAAATATATTTAAGCTGCTCATGCCAGGCAGTCAACCAGTATATAATGAGTTTTCAAACAGGTCTGGATTTGGGCCTGGGTGCATTTTCCATTAAAAAGCACATGGTCTGGTCCACTGTGAAACGTCACTGGTGGCTGAAGTGGAAAAAACACTCAATTCTCAAGCTGTTAAATGCATCCCACCTTCCATTACCCACATTACCTTTCACACTGCCATTTTCGCCATGTTCACACAAGTACTCCACATGAACACCTCATGCTGTAGTGAGGGACATGAAACCCTTGAAGCTCTAAGGGGGACAATCTGAAAGCACGAGACTGGGGCCTGTGGCCTCACCTTTCTCAGGATGCTCCGCCTCAGGCTGAGTGCTGCTGCTCGAGCTCACACTGGCATCAAAGCCCGCGGGCGAGCTGTTGCCTTCCGACTGCAGGTCCTGGAGCTCCCCCGTGACACTGTCCACTTCGATCGTGCTGTCGGTCTCGCTCTTGATGCTGCGGACCTCTTCGTGGTTTGGGGCCAGCGGCTCTGACACTGTTACAGAAGGAGGCTGCCGACTGGCTTCCGTCACGGTGACTGAGGAAGGGGACTCGGGTGTCGTGGGAGGGGTGTTGAGCACTGAATTGCTGCCGCTGCTCGGAAATTCCGACTTTTTGTCACTGACCTCCGCTGGCTTCTCCTCAGTGGGCTTGCCCTCTGCACCGGCTGAGGGCGGGGCGGCCAGATCGGTGTTGGAGCAGCTCTCCTCCTCGGCCACAGTCTGCAGGGACCCCTCAGCCGGCCCCTCTTCTGGGGCAGGATGGGGTGGGGAGGCGGCGGCCTCAGTGTCAGAGTCTGAGAAAAGCTCCTTCAGCGTTTTTTTAGGCCACTGACCCTGAATACTTGACCAGACATCTTTTCGATCTTTTGCTCTGCTGTTCTGAAGTCTTTCATCAGAGTTATTTAAAAGTTTTATCCTTTTTTCGGCCACTTCTGAAAATCCTGAATAGAAACCAGTTGTCCGTAGAGACTTTCTTTTCTCCTCCAAACCATTGTACTTCTTAGTGGGTGTCACCTTGGCTTTGGACTTTTCTTCTTCGTCCTCATCGGAAGAGCTATTGCTACTATTTTCTATGCAAAGGGCTTCTTTGTTCTTGGCTTTATCCTCCTTTTTACTTGGGGAGCCGCTTTTTAAACACTCCTCAGTATTGCAGTACCTTCTTTTACCACGTTTCACTGGTGGCTTTGAAGATTTATCAGCAGTGTCCTTTTTGACATCCTTTCTCTTTTTTGTGACTTCATCTTCTTCTTCATAATCAGTATCTTCAGATAATGCTTCCATATCTTTTCTTAAGCTTTCTGGAGATTTCGACAAGGGTTTGGCTACTACCAAATCTGCGTGGACTTTGTTTTCTTCAAGCAAAGATGAACTGTTCTGTTCCTCTTTGGACGTAAGATCATTTCTGTTGTGGGTCAAATGATCAATCTTAGATTCTTCCTTGCCATGATTATCTAAGTCTTGAATACTTGTTTCATCCTCTTGCTCACTGTCTTCAGCAGAACTTTCAGAAGCTAGAAGAGAAAGAAAAAACAATGAGTATGGTAAGAATACCAGCGACGTCTTCTCTGGGCCCACTAATATAAACAAGTATTAGCTCGTATGTTTATAACCACTTCAGGTTGCTAGGTTTTATCCTCATTTTACAACTGAGGAAACTGAGCTTCAGAGAGAAGACATTCACCCAATCATGAAAACGTTTTATATCATGACTACAGTGGGAGTGACACTACTGCATACTTTTGTCAAAACTCATCATATTGTAAACATAAAACTCGTGACTTTCATCATTTGTAAATTATACTTCAATAAAGCAGATTATAAAAAAGAAAGAATCTTCTCCAAATTTATGGGCAGAACATAGTGGAGTCAGGATGTAGTTCCAGGATGTTCAAACTCCAAAGTGTATATTCTTATAAAAGTGTAGTCTTCACTTTCAATGTGGCAATGACAACTCACAAATTTTGTAAGCAATGTATTTCTACCATAGATGCTTTAGAGAACACCACAATTAACTTTACACAAACATCAGTTCAGTTCAGTTCAGTTCACTCAGTCATGTCCGACTTTTTGCAACCCCATGGACTGCAGCACACCAGGCTTTCCTGTCCATCACCAACTCCCAGAGTTTACCCAAACTCATGTCCATTGAGTCGACGATGCCATCCAACCATCTCATCCTGTCGTCCCCTTCTCCCGCCTTCAATCTTTTCCATCAAAAAAGTCAGTTCTTCGCATCAGGTGGCCAGAGTACTGGATTTTCAGCTTCAACATCAGTCCTTCCAATGAATATTCAGGACTGATTACCTTTAGGATGGAAAGGTTGGATCTCCTTGTAGTCCAAAGGACTCTCAAGAGTCTTCTCCAACACCATAATCCAAAAGCATCAATTCTTTGGTGCTCAGCTTTCTTTACAGTCCAACTCTCACATCCTTACATGACTACTGGAAAAACCACAGCCTTGACTAGACAGACTTTTGCTGGCAAAGTAATATCTCTGCTTTTTAATATGCTGTCTAAGTTGGTCATAACTTTCCTTCCAAGGATTAAGCGTCTTTTAATTTCAAGGCTGCAGTCACCATCTGCAGTGATTTTGGAGCCCCCAAAAATAAAGCCTGACACTGTTTCCACTGTTTCACCATCTATTTGCCATGAAGTGATGGGACTGGAGGCCATAATCTTAGTTTTCTGAATGTTGAGCTTTAAGCCAACTTTTTCCCTCTCCTCTTTCACTTTCATCAAGAGGCTCTTTAGTTCTTCTTCACTTTCTGCCATAAGGGTGGTGTCATCTGCATATCTGAGGTTATTGATATTTCTCCCAGCAATCTTTTTTGCTGGGAGAAATATACAAACATATCTACACAATTTATTCCTTAAATGTTCCTTTTAGCAAAGTATAATAATAATAGCTTTTATTATGACTTTAATATAACATTTACTGATAAACTGTTATATACCAGGTACTATGAAATGGTTTGTACAGATCATCTCATTCAATCTCACAATCCTATGAGCATCTGTTATGAGCCTCATTTTATACTTTAAGATACTAGGATTTAGAGAGGCTAGTAAACCACCCCAGAGCTAAAATAAATCAAGATCAAATTTAAATCTCAGTTCCCTGATTCCAGAATTTAGAGCTAACTATACTACACTCTACTGAGATATCCATATGTATCCTTCAATAAGTTTGTTAAACATAAAAAAGAATGGATACAATTAAGATGGTTATTTAATCTTTTCACTGTGTTCCTAAATAACTGAATTTGAAATAACTGAGTTTGCTTAAATTCATATCCATTGAGTTGGTGATGCTATCTAACCATCTCATCCTCTGCACCCTCTTTCTCCTTTTGCCGTCAATCTTTTCCAATAGTTGGCTCTTCGAATTATGTGACCATAGTACTGTAGCTTTAGCCTCAGTATCAGTCCTTCCAATGAATATTTAGGGTTGATTTACTCCTTTAGGATTGACTGGTTGGATCTCCTTGCTGTCCAAGGGACTCTCAAGAGTCTTCTCCAGCACCACAATTTGAAAGCATCAATTCTTTCGCACTCAGCCTTTTATGGTCCAACTTTCGCATCCATGAATGACTACTGGAAAAACCACAGCTTTGACTATATGGACCTTAGTCAACAAAGGGATGTCTCTGTTTTTTAATATGCTGTCTAGGTTTGTTGTAGTTTTTCTATCAAGGAGCAAGCATCTTTTAATATCATGGCTGCAGTCACTGTCTGCAGTGATTTTGGAGCCCAAGAAAATAAAATCTATCAGTTTCCAGTTTTACCCCATCTATTTGTCATGAACTGATGGGATCAGATCCCATGATCTTCATTTTTTGAATGTTTTTTAAGCCAGCTTTTTCACTCTCCTCCTTCACGCTCAACAAGAGGCCTTTTAGTTCCTCTTCATGTTCTGCCATTAGAGTGGTATGATCTGTATATCTGAGGTTGTAGCTATCTCTCCCCGCAATCCTGATTCCAGCTTGTGATTCACCCAGCTCAGCATTTCGCATGAGGTACTCTGTATAAAGGGCTTCCCAGGTGGCACAAGTGGTAAAGAACCTGCCTGCCAATGCAGGAAACAAAAGAGACATGGGTTTGATCCCTGGGTTGGGAAGATTCCCTGGAGGAGGGCATGGCAACCCACTCCAGTATTCTTGCCTGGAGAATGCCATGGACAGAGGAGCCTGACAGACTACAGTCCATAGGGTCTCACAGAGTCGGACACGACTGGTGACTTAGCATGCACTCTGCATAGAAGTTAAATAAGTAGGGTGACAATATGCAGCCTTGTCACACTCCTTTCCCAATTTTGAACCAGTCTGTTGTATCATGTCCGGTTCTAACTATTGCTTCTTGATCTGCATACAGGTTTCTCAAGAGGCAGGTAAGGTGGTCTGGTATTCTCATCTCTCTAAGAATTTTCCACAGTTTGTTATGATCCACACAGTCAAAGGCTTTAGCATAGTCAAGGAAGCAGATGTTTTTCTGGATTCCCTCGCTTTCCTTATGATCCAATAAATGTTGGTTATTTGATCTCTGGTTCCTCTGCCTTTTCTAAACCCAGCTTGTACATTTGGAAGCTCACGTACTATTAAAGCCTAGCTTGAAGGATTTTGAACATAACCTTTATTAGCATGTGAAACAAGTACAGTAGTTGGAACATTCCATGGCATTGCCCTTCTTTGAGCCTGGAATAAATACTGACCTTTTCTAATCCTGTGGCCACTGCTAAGTTTTCCAAATTTGCTGACATACTGAATGTAGCACTTTAACAGCATCATCTTTTGGGATCTGATAGTTCAGCTGGACTTCCACCTCCTCCACTAGCTTTTTTCATAATGATGCTTCGTAAGGCTCATGTGACATCACACTCCAGATGTATGGCTCTAACACCATCATGGTTATCCAGGCCATTAAGACTTTTTTTGTACAGTTCTGGATATTCTTGCCACCTTTCTTAATCTCTTCTTCTTTTATTAGGTCCTTACCATTTCTCTCCTTTATCATGTCCATTCTTGCATGAAATGTTCCCTTGCTATTTCCAGTTTTCTTGAAGAGATCTCTAGTCTTTCCCATTCAATTATATTCCTCTATTTCTTTGCACTGATCACTGAGGAAAGCTTTCTTATCTCTCCTTGCTATTCTTTGGAAGTCTGCATTCAGTTGAGCGTATCTTTCCCGTCAGTTGAGCGTATCTTTCCCGTTCTCCCTTGCCTTTCACTTGTCTTCTTTTCTCAGCTATTTGTAAAGCCTCCTCAGACAACCACTTTGCTTCTTGCATATTCTTTTCTCGGGGATGGTTCTGGTCACTGCCTCCCATACAATTGTTACAAACCTCCATCCATAGTTCTTCAGGCACTCTGTCTACAAGATCTAATCCCTTAAATCTATTAATCACCTCTGGTGTATAATCATAAGGGATTTGATTTAGGGCATACCTGAATGGCCTAGAGGTTTTCCCCACTTTCTTCAATTTAAGTCTCTATTTTGCAATAAGAAGCTCATGATCTGAGCCACAGTCAGCTCCAGGTGTTGTTTTTGCTGACTGTATAGAGCTTCTCCATCTTTGGCTGAAAAGAATATAATCAATTTGATTTCGGTATTGACCATCTAGGAATGTCCAGATGGTCGTCTCTTGTGTTGTTGGAAAAGGGTGTTTGCTGTGACCAAAGTGTTTTCTTGACAAAACTCTGTTAGCCTTTGCCCTGCTTCATTTTATACTCCAAGGCCAAACTTGTCAGTTATTCCAGGTATCTCTTGACTTCCTACTACTTTTGCATTCCAATCCCCTATGATGAAAAGGACTTTTTTTTTTTTGGTGTTAGTTCTAGGTCTTGTAGGTCTTCATAAATAAGTCAACTTCAGGCACTTCAGCATTAGTGGTTGGGCACAGACTTGGATTACTGTGATGTTGAATTTTTGCCTTGGAAATGAATTGAGATCATTCTGTCATTTTTGAGACTGCACCCAAGTATCGCATTTCAGACTCTTCTGTTGGGTATTAGGGCTATTCCATTTCTTCTAAGGGATTCTTGCCTGCACTAGTAGATATAATAGGTCATCTGAATTAAATTTGCCCATTCCTATCCATTTTAGTTCACTGATTTCTAAGATGTCAATGTTCACTCTTGCCATCTCCTTCTTGACCACATCCAATTTACCTTGATTCATGGACCTAACATTCTGGGTTCCTATTCCATAGTGTTCTGCACAGCATTAGACTTTACTTTCACACCAGACACATCCACAACTGAGTGTCATTTCCACTTTGGCGTAGCTGCTTCATTCTTTCTGGAGCTACTAATAATTGCCGTCTGCTGTTCCCTGGTAGCATACTGGACATTTTCTGATCTGGGTGGTTCATCTTCAGGTGTCATATCTTTTTGCCTTTTCATACTGTTCATGGGAAGAGTACTGGAGTGGTCTGCCATTCTCCCCTTCAGTGGACACATTACTTTTTCAGAACTCTCCACTGTGACCCGTCCACCTTGGATGGCCCTACACAGCATGGCTCATAGCTTCACTGAGTTATGCAAGCCTCTTCACTACGGCAAGGCTGTGATCAATGAAGGAGCGAGTAATACATATACACAGTGAAAACTAATTTACTCTCATAACAAAACACCAACAGCTCCTCTTTTCTTCCTTCCACAGCTTCCAAAATCTCATAACTATTTCCATTCAAGTTACTATCATCATCTCTTAATAGTATACTATTTGTTGATATATATATAAGCAATGAGAATTCTCTTATTAATTCCTCCATCCCCTTCTGCCACACTTTGTATATAAGTAGTGTTGGAAAAGCTGGACTGCTAAATGTAAATCAATGAAGTCAGAACACACCCGCAGACCATACACAAAAATACACTCAAAACAGCTGAGTTAAGTATAAGACATGACACCCTAAATCTCCTAGAAGAGATCACAGACAAAACATTCTCTGACATAAATTGTACCAATGTTTTCTTGGGTTCATCTCCCAAGGCACTAGAAATAAAAGCAAAAATAAACAAATGTGATCTAATCAAATTAGTTAAGATTTTGCACTACAAAGGAAATCACAACCTATGGACTGAGAGAAAATATTTGCAAACAACGCAACCGACAAGGCTTAATTTCCAAAATATACAAATTGCTCATACAACTCAACAACAACAACAAAAGAACAAACAATCCAACTGAAAAATGGGCAGAAGACCTAAAAAGCAGACAGACAGATGGCCAACAGGCACATGAAAAGATGCTCAACATCACTAAGTATCAGAGAAATGCAAATCAAAACTACAGTGAGGCACCAGTCAGAATGGCCATCATTAAAGTTTCCTAATAACAAATGCTGGAGAAGATCTGGAGAAAAGGGGACCCTCATACACTGCTGGTGGGGAAGTAAACTGGTGCAGCTACTGTGGAAAAGAGAATGGAGGCTCCTTAAAAAAGCTATAAACAGAGTTTTTGTCTTTCTTGCTGTATGATTCAACGGTCCCACTCCTGGGACATCTGGAAAAAACTATAATTTGAAAAGATACATGTATCCCACTGTTCATAGCAGCAGTTATTTCTAATAGCCAAGACATGGAAGCAACCCTAAATGGCCACTGACAGACAAATGGATAAATAAGATGTGGTACATATATACAATGAGATACTACTCAGCCATACAAAAAGAAGGAAACGAGGCCATTTGAAGCAACATGGATGGATCTAGACATTATCACACTAAACGAAGTTAAATCAGAGAAAGCAAATACCATATATCATCACTGACATGTGGAATCTTAACTATGACACAAATTATTTATGAAACAGAAACAGACTTGAAGAAATAGAAAACAAACTTATGATTAACAAAGGGGAAAAGGAGTGGAGAGGGTAAGTTAGGAGTTTGGGATTAGCAGACACAAACTACTATATATAAAATAAACAACAAGGTTTATAGCACAGGGAATTCTATTCAAAATCTTGTAATAAACCATAAAGGAAAAGAGTATGAAAAAAGACTACATATATAACTGAACCACTTTGCTATATACCAGAAACTAACACAGCATTGTTAATCAACTCTACTACAATAAAAAAAAATGAAATCAGAAACAAGATATTGCACCCACCCATTTTATAAGAACAGATTCATATGAAGCATTGCAGAAAACAAAGAGTTCTTAAAAAGTAAAAACACTACAGCTGTCCATAAGCATTACAGTACCAAACAGTAAAAGGATTAAAATATAAAATCAAGAAAATTTCTAAGAAACTAGAAGACAGAACAATCAATAATGTGTCTCTGAAAAAAGGTAACTATTTAGGAGTATACTGCAGAAGGTTCAATATTAATATAATGGCAGGTTCAAAAGAGAGAAAGGGAGTAAAGGAGGGTAGGGGAAAGAATATGGAAGTGTAGAGGAGAAAAATCAACAAAATATTTCAAGAAAACTATCCAAAAGAGAAAGATGCAAGCTTCTAGAATGAAGCAGCTTAACAAGTACGCATTACAATAGATGAAAATACATCCACAAAAGGGATAATCTCTGTGCAATTTGAAGACATTAAAAACAAAGATTCAAGATTTCACAAAGATTCAAGATTTCAGAGAAAGGGAAGGCAAAAAAACAAGCCATAAAACAAGTCACCTACAAAGAATCAGGGCCAAGAGCTCTGGACTTCACATAGAACACTGAAGGAAAAATACAGCTGAACAATGCTAATAAAATAATTAAGGAAAAACTTCCAACCCTGATAGACCATAAATAATATATTTTCAAATGTGGACAGTCTCTAAAAATTTATCTTCCCTCTTACTCACTTGTTCTTAACATCTGCTAGAGAATGGAGAGCATAATTCCTGAGAGATAATTCCGAAGAGATATTCCTGAGAGCCCCGATGTTTCCTAGAAGGCCCTAATAACCTTGCCCCACTGAATTACCTTACAGAGATCTTTGTAGACTGACAACGAAGCTGAATATGACCTAGAAACTCTATTCAGATGAGCCTTCATTAAAGTGGAAATACTGTGTTTTTTTACATAGTTAGGTTTATGTTTGCCAAAGTTTTTAAAAAAGTAAATAATATCCTCTTTAGGAATATATACAGGTTTATTACAGTTGTAAAAAAAGTAAACTTAATGGCTGATTTCAAACAATAACAGAGTCAACAAAGTTACAGTTCAATTAAAAAAGAGAACTTCATAATGTTACTGAATTACCTTTGTAGCATTTAATTTATAAAAATTAAAAACATTTAAAACAAATACTTGCATGCAACAGGATGCTCGTTGTGTTTACCTTGAAGTCCATTAAGGATAGAAGTGATTTCTATGGATTTAATATGAGCTGTATCAGAGTTCTTGGCATCAGTAAGATCCAATTTGGATACCATTTCAGGCGATGGATTTGTCTGAAATGGCGGTTTTGACAAGCGCCGGAGTTTACAGTTTTTAGGAGAATATTTTTCATCTTTGTCTTTTTCTTTGTCTAATTTATTCTAAGTTAAGGGAAAAAAGGTATCCTATGTTAGTCATAATTTGTCATGAAGCATTCATTAGTATCAATGCTAAAACTCATTTTTAACTCAAAGCTGTAGACTACATTACTAAAAAACATAAAAAGAATATAAAGAAAAACAGATGTTTTTTCAAACTTATCTAACAAATATTATAGGATGAGAAATAGTTTCTACTATTTATATTTTAATAACGGAAATAAATTAGCAATCAGATAGGCAATTAAGAAAAGCAAACCTCCATTCTGCTAATAATTGATGTTATAAATTCTATAAAAATGAAATCACAATAGGCTTAAATATTTATTTTTTAAAAAAGAAACACAATTTCAATATGGTAGTTTTAAAACCTGGAAGATTCTCAATATAAAATGAGGGTTGGGAATGATAAAATTTCAGTTATCTTCAGTTGACAACTGGAAAGAAACAAATGACTTGCTATAAAGTCAAGTCAGTGGGACATCCTTCCTGCATCATTGATAAATTAATGTTTCATGAAAAAATGAGAAATTTTCCCAAATTCTCTATTTATGAATAGATGGGCAAGGGCTAATATATTTCCTGGAAACTTTACAAAAATTTGCTTTTAAAATAATTTATAGAAGAAATAATTTAGACAAGCTTTTAAGTGATATTGTAGAGCATGACGCAGCAGGAAACAATTCTGAAGTCCTGTTAAACAGGACTTTAATGTTTCAAAACATTTAAAAGGTTTAATCATACTATAGATTGTAAGTGACTATTTCCACAGTTCTCCCATAGCTGGTACAGGGCTGCACCATTCTGGATACACAGAAGTTAACCCTACTTAGGACAGTGGCTCTCCAAGTATGGACCATGGGCCCAGAGGCCTTAGCACCTCCTGGCAACTTAAGTGAAAACTCCTCGGACCAGACTCAGATCCAGTGAATCACGAGCACTGGAGACGGGAACAGGCAATCTGAGTTTCACCAAGTTTCTTCAGGTGACTGTGACACATGCTTAAGTGTGAGATCCACTAACTTAGAGCACCTGAGCTGAAGATTCTGGAAGCACTCAAAAGGCGTATGTGTACCAAAGCTTATCAATGATTAGTGCTGTTCTAATTTTCCTATTCTTGCCAGCCTTTTCATCAGTTTATACCAGAGATCATAATATACCATGCAGTCTGAAGGCAGAAATGGTCTACGTCATGCAAAGTTCAAATATGGCTTTTAATGGCTGTCAGAGAACAGCTTGAAAACAGTGGTTCTCAGAGCCAGATGAGATCAAGGGATGGGTATACTACTATTAAATAATTTTTAGGAAGCTTTTCCAAAATTCACGTGTCTCTTCCCTAATGATGAACATTTTAAATGCCTGGGAGGGGCCTAGAACTAAACTGAGACATAAATAAATATTTAGAAAAAATTCCCCAAGTAATATTCTAATATTGCTTCTCCTACCCCTACCCTGTCCTCTACCTGAGAAATACTACTCCTAAAACTTGCTCTGTGCAAGGAAACAGGCTTTTTACTGCCACACACACCAAATTCTTCTAGTAGCTTAGGAGCAATAGCATGACTTCCACACTTCCCAGTAAAGACCAAGAGTGTCCTGAATTGTAGCTACTGAGTTGCCAAACCAAAACTTTAAAAATATGAACCCAGTTTCATCGTTGAGAAAAGAATAATCACTTTAGAGGAAAAATTTCATACATAGGGCCACTAAGGTATCATTTAGCCAGAGAGTAAATATCAATAGCGCCTCACTTTTAAAATGAAAATTGAATTTCAGGAGGACTATTAAACACTTCAACTATATATACCATTAAAAGTAGTAAAAAGCCATTAAGAGATAAAAAATATTCTAAAACCTAGTTAATGGTCTGCTTTCTAATAAAACATTAAAAAGATTTAATCTTAGAATGAACAAGACTAATTCCTAATTCCACATTAAACTAACATTAATTTCCATACAAGCGCATTATTAATAGATTCCCCATGGTATCTATGCAGTGTGTGCCTCTTGGGGTCCTGTGAACACATTCTAAGGCACTATCTGTAGTGCCAGAAAGATGAAGAAAAAAAGAGCTGCAGCTAGGCCCTCCTGTGCCTTCAGGCTCCTTCTCCGCCTCTGAATGGTTTACAGCTATTACAGGAACCCCAGAGTTCCAGCTACACACTACTTCATGGCTCCCAGCTAGAGACCAGAGGTGCATGAACCAGTTGAAATGGGCAAGTGAGATCTTCGGTGAGTGGACTTACACAATGTTGGGACTAAAAAAGCATCAAAGATAGCTTAGTACTGTTTTCAAAATGTCTTTCCATAAGCTGACAATATTAATTGTACTTGATAAACTGACTATTTCAAGAGAGTATTTTCAACTCTACCAACACACACACACACACACACACACACACACACACACACACCCCACACACTCTCTCATTCTCTCTCTCTCTCTCTCTCTCAACTCACTCTGGAGGAAAGGTTCCTTAATTAAGAGCTATAATATACAGCAAAATATATTTTGCTTTTATTACCTTTATTTTCTTGCGATGTTTTATCTTGGGCACATTTTTATCAGCAGGTCTTACTATTTTATCTGCTTTAATCCATTCATCATACCTAAAATCAAAGGAAATTAACATAAATATACAAAACACATACTATAGAAGGAACTATGCCATATTAAAGAGAAACTCATAAACAGAATCATAATATTGTAAAACCTTGGGGGCCACTAAGTTCAACCTTCTGGTTTAAGGAACAAAGTTACCGAGGCTCAAAGAGAGATGCAGTGGCCTGTCCCAGGACACACTGCTTAGCTAGGTCTCTGGATTCCTGGACCAGCACTACTTCCTCTGTTACACCGAAGAGAAACCAAAGCTGTACAATAACCATGAAGAGCACTCACAGTATTTCCTATATTTTTTTGGTTTACTTTGTTCTTTTCTTAAGCAGCAAGTAGTTCATTTTCCCCTAAACATATCAGGAAGATAAAGGGGAAGCATGACTGCCAAGTTTTCAGGCTTTGGAGTTGCTGCCTACGTATACAGATGGCTGAGAGTCAACAGTTGTGATGGGTTCTCCACTCCGCGCTGGCTGTCTGCGGGAGTTCACAGGGCACAAGTTACTACTGACTGCAATAAATCTATTTGTTTAAGGGGGGGTGGGAGTTTGATTCTGTAACAAACTCAGCTAGAAAGAAGAAACATTAAACCTCTTTTTATGTTTGAAAGTTACATACATTTATTCTGGAAAATGGAAAACTGATTGACATTTTTAACTCGAGAACATGAAAAACTGAAAATGAGCTTTTACATTAAAATGTCCTCATTATTAGAGACATTAAGTGAAGTAAGAAAGACCCTGAGTCAGTAAGTAAATGATTTAGGTCATTACCTTACTAGTAAATTATATTCTTGCTCTAGAGTAGGCCTGGGTGCATACATGCTAAGTCCCTTCAAATGTGTCCAACTCTTTTCGACCCTATAGAGTGTAGCCCACCAGGCTCCTCTGTCCATAGGATTGTCTAGGCAAGAATACTGGAGTGGGTTGCCTTGCCCTCCTCCAGGGGATCATCCCAACCCAGGGATCAAGCCCATGTCTCTTACATCTCCTGCACTGGCAGGCAGGTTCTTTACCACTAGCGCCAGAAGGTTTATGCTCTTTCCATAAAATGTAATAATAACAGTATTGTTAGTGTTATTATAACTCATATCCTTCAGGACTAGAATATGCCTTAAAAAATCTATCAATGAATTTATTTCACAGATTAAGAAACTCAAACCATGGAAGTGAACTGATCGTTCAAACTATAGGCTTGCCAAAAAGTACCATGTGAAGAGTTTGAGAAGAATGGGAAATGTGACACTAGAATGACAAAGTGTGCCAGGTCCTATTCTGATCAAGTATACAGAAGAGTCCAGACCAGCAACTAAAAAGCCGCCTTAAGGATGCCAAGTAGGAATGAACCAGTGAGGAGGGAGAACAGGTGAAAACAGTGTATGAGAATTTTCTTTAAGGTAGCTGTTTCAAATTACAAATGCCCTTACCCTACACAGAGGCTGAGAAAAGTGAAAAGTCGCTGAGTCATATCCGACTCTTTGTGACCCCATGGACTGTACAGACCATGTAATTCTCTAGGCTAGAATACTGGAGTGAGTGGCCATTCTCTTCTCCAGGGGATCTTCCCAAGCCAGGTTTCCCACATTACAGGCACATTCTTTACCACTGAGCCACCAGGGAAGCCCAGGAATACCGGAGAGGGTAGCCATTCCCCTCTCCAGCGGATCTTCCTGACCCAGGAATCAAACCCGGGTCTCCTGCACTGCAGGAGGATTCTTTACCAGCTGAGCTACCAGGGGAGCCCGGAGGTTGAGACCACCGATGTAAACATTAACAGACAAACGTTTCAGAATGTAATGAGGTTCTAAATATCACTTTAGTTGCCTGACTAATCTTATAAGGGGAAAAAAATGACCAGAAAATAAACTGATGTCATAACTAATCACTGTATTTTAAGTATAAAGAAATGCTCTTGCCCATTATGTAATTACTCATTAGAGTATTATTCAAGAGTTCTGTAATGCTCTTGTCCGTTATGTAATTACTCATTAGAGTATTATTCAAGAGTTCCATTTTCTTTACAGAATACTTTCAAAGAACACAAAGGAGAGAAAAAGAAATTCATGCAGGAGAAAAAAGCAAACCGAATCAACCCCAAAATTACTACTGACATCAAATTATGCAAGACAGAGTTAGGCCAGTTTAATTTTTATTTTACTAGTGTTTGTTAATTTAAATAAAGGAGGTAATACTCATGGATTAAGATCTCTGATTCCCTATCAAATACCAAGAATGAAGATTTGAGTAAAATAAAGAGAATTAAGATCAGAAATACAAAAAAAAGCTGTCACTGAATCTGTTTATTCTATGTGAACTTAAAACTTTTTATGTAGTGTATATTTAATATTTATTAAAAAGAGATTACAACATATTTACTTTAGGCATAAGTAAGTAGTCCAAGAAGACAGAATATAGGAAAATTAGTTCAAATTTAAATATCTTGCATTAAAAAATGAAATAATGGGGAGGTGGCAAAGAGCAGAAAATTGTAGCTTAAAAAAAAAAAGAGAGACCATAAAACATGTCTCAATTTCTCTCCAGGGCATCATACCAAGTAGGATATTGATTCATCCTTCAAAATAACCTCTTTATGAGGTGGATGAACCTAGGACCTATTATACAGAGTGAAGTAAGTCAGAAAGAGAAAGATAAATATCATATTCTAACACATATATACAGAATCTAGAAAAATGGTACTGAAGAATTTATTTACAGGGCAGCAATGGAGAAACAGACATACAGAATAGACACATGGACATGGGGAGAGGGGAGGAAAGGATGAGATGTATGGAAAGAGTAAGATGGAAACTTATATTACCATATGTAAAATAGACAACCAATGGGAATTTGCTGTGTGGCTCAGGAAACTCAAACGGGTGCTGTATCAACCTAGAGGGGTGGGGTGGGGAGGGAGATGGGAGGGAGGTTCAAAGGGGAGGGGGTTTGTGTATACCTATGGCTGATTCATGTTGAGGTTTGACAGAACAACAAAATTCTATAAAGCAAATATACTTCCATTAAAAATAAATAAATAAAACATAACTTCTTTAAAGAAAACAGGAATTTTTAAAACTAAGTCAAATATAAATTTTCTGGTTTTAAGATGCTTTCCTCCTCCTCTCAAACATTCCCAAATATATGAACATGTTTTCATCCCTCAGCCATAGTGGTCATCCTGTTCCAGTGGCTCTCCAGTATTCTTGATTCTGCTTTAAATACCACAAAGGGAATCAAGACAGTAGAATCCATGTTCTGATGGGGACTCTCAACTGTGAATGAAGAACACTCTTAACAGCTATTCAGGGCAAAAGATATTCCAAGACACCACTTCATTGCTAAATACCTAGATTTTCCCCCAAGGATAGCAGGCCCGTTGCTGTCAGCTACCATGTTTTGTGATAATGCAGCTTGAAAACTAGAAAAGAAATTGAAGCTAAGTGGTTGGCCTATGAACAAAATAACTTGCAACTTTAATATAAGCAACAGAGTTTTATGAGAATGTCTGAGAAAAATCAGGTACTCTATATTATTGACAAAAACTGTACCGCCCACATGCATGCATGCTAAGTTATTTCAGTCATATCCGACTCATTGCGACCCTACAGACTGTAGCCCACCAAGTTCTTCTGTCCATGGTATCCTCCAGGCAAGAATACTGGAGTCGGTTGCCACTTCCTTCTCCAGTACTGCCTATAACTGGGACTTTAAATTTAGAAATTATGAACTGAAGAGAGCGATTGGCCTGTTCATGACAAAAGGAAGTATAGCTTGCAAGAGCACAAGGAAACGAAGATTACTACTTTCATTAAACAACAAATATTAAAAAACCAAGAAAAACAAATACTGAAACAAATATGAACAAACACTGAATACAAAAATGAAGACTAAACCTGTTAGTGGTTAGACCATACTTTTTCAACTCAGTTATCAATAAACTCTTTGTAATCAATGTGTGGAGCCTAGATAAGTATCTCATCTGATATTTAAAGTACTAAAGAAAATATTTTCAAAGAATATACTGACTTGGGAAAATCTGTTGGGATCATCTAACATTCAACTAATGGAATAAACATGAAAGAACAGAGCGTGGGCAACCCATTTAATTTCTAGCAGTTGGCTCCCTGACCTACATAAAATGAAGAAAAGTAGAACAGATGATCCCCCAAATTAAAAACTCGAACGAAACCCCAGACTAGAAGTCTGCACAAGGGCTTGTTCACTGGACAAATATTTGTTAGGTACCTGTCATGTGACAGGCTCTGCACTAGGCGCTGGGTAATGAAAGCACCACAGCATCTTCTCAAGGAGCTTACAATTTAACACAGAGGACAACAGCAGTCAACCATTACATGGCAACAATACCAATCTTCTGAACCCTTCCCAAAAAAGCAGCTGCATAATACTGGAAATTTTAATGTGTTGAATTAAAATATTTATACAAAGCTAAAAGGAACCATTCAGAGACCATAGCATACTTGCTCTCACCAGAGAAAAATAAAGAGTTCTAAAAAGAAAACGTTTTGATTTTTGTTTGGATGTGTTGGCAAATCATCTAAGAAATCATTTAGCAACAATAAAAATGGAAAAGAGCATTCGTCAACCAGACATAAGATACCAAAATGGTTACTGTGCCCACAATCATTCAGATTTTGGTTCTGTTTAAACCCAACTAAACCACTTTCAAAGAAATATTATCAGTCATGTGTTTACATATACCCACACAATAATTACATGCAGAATCATGTACAAATAACTGCAAAAGCAAAGCTGAACTGACAAAATATTTTAAAACTCATTATTTAAAATACACATACAGATTGTAAAAGATAAAAATCTAGTAACCAACCATTAATATAAATGAAATATTAAAATCATCTGTACTTTTCCTGTAAAGGAGAGACTCATTTAGCAATTGCTGAACAATTAAGTATTTTGTATCTTGCCTATCTATATGCAAAAAGATAACATACATCATAAAACTAACTTAGCTTTAAAAA